AGAGGTGATGGAGGCAGAGAAAGAAAAGACGTTGGAGACGGATAACTTCCAAACTCAGGAGGTTGATGGAGAGATGGAGAGTATCGTGGACGATAAGACAAGTAAGAGGAAGACGGGGCAAGGCACAAGCCAGCGAGGTAAAGAAAGGGGGCGTGTGATGATCCCGAACTCAAGGGGACTGGTTAATGCAGTGCTAAACAATCAAAGCAAGAAGGTTTCCTCTCGTAGGAATAAATGACGTCAATCTTTGCATGGAACATGCGTGGTTTCAATCAACCACACAAACAACAAGCTGTTAGATATTGGATTAAGGAAGCAAAATTGAGATTACGGTGTCTGGTGTAAACAAGAGTTCAAGAGGAGAGTTTTTATAAGATTTTTTCAGATACTTTTCCGGGTTGGCAGTATGTGCACAATTATAGCAATCACAGGCTTGGGAGGATTTGGGTTTGTTGGTCAGCCGATGTTGATGTGGTCCCTGTTATGATTAGCGCACAAATGATAACCTGTTGGGTACGTTTTAAAGACACTGAAGACACTTTTCTGGCCTCGTTTACTTATGGTTCGAACTGCCCAATAGAACATAGAGAGCTATGGAAGGAAATTGATATAATTTCGCAGCAGGTGGCAGGAGGAAGTAACCCTTGGATTCTACATGGTGATTTTAATGTTACAAAATCAGCCATGGAACATTCTCAGTTTCTTGATACTGCGGTTGAGAACTTAGCTATTCATGAGTTTCAAAATATCATTAGAAGCTGTGATCTTGTTGATATTCCTCACACTGGTCCGGAGTTCACTTGGATAAACAGTCAAGATAGGAACCTTATTAGCAAGAAGCTGGATAGAGCTATGGGGAACAGCAGTTGGATGTCAAATTTTGGGCAATCGCATACAGTGTTTCAAGCAGGAGGAGTTTCTGATCATTCTCGAATGGTGACAACATTACGAGACAATCAACCATGCAACCGGAAGCCTTTTAAATTCTTCACACATGTGGTCAGCCACCCACAGTTTTTGGAAGTGGTAGCACAAGTATGGAACTCTACTGGCCCACTTTTTCACTCCCGCACAGCTTTGAAAAAACTGCAGGACAAACTAAAGGCTCTGAAATCTGAGCTTCGCAGGCTGAATAGGGAATCATTTGGTGATCTTCCAGCAAGGGTTAAAGCGGCCTATGATGAACTCTGTGAAAAGCAGAACAACGCACTGCAGAATCCGCACGTTTCAACGTTTGAGGAAGCATCGGATGCTTGGGAGCACTGGCACCATCTATCAGGCATAGAAGAACAACTCTTTTATCAGAAGTCAAGAGTACAGTGGTTGGACCTAGGTGATAGAAATACTAACTTCTATCATAAGACATGTCAAACGCATTTCTCCAGGAACACCATTCGCAAACTGGTTACTTCAGATGGGAGGGTTCTCACGGACCTGTCTGACATTAAAGGAGAAGTTGTGTCTTATTATGAGAGTTTTCTTCAAGATCAGGGTAATTTGGTGAATGTAGAGGAGGTTTCTGAAGAGACGTTAAGGGATCTGCTAGACTACTGCTGTAATACTGAAGATGCAGCATCGTTAGTTTGGCCAGTGTAACCGGATGAAGTTGAAAAAGCTTTGTTTTCTATGCCGGCTAACAAGGCCCCTGGGCCTGATGGTTACCCTATGGAGTTTTATAAAGAGGCTTGGGTAGTTGTGGGAAAGGATTGGTGGTTGCTGTCCAGTCATTTTTCTTATTTGGGTTGATGCCACGTAGCACTAATACTACTCTCCTCTCGCTAGTGCCAAAGACAACCAATGCAGAGAAAATGAATGACTTTCGACCAATAGCTTGTTGCAACGTTGTCTACAATATCATCTCTAAAATTATGGCCCACCGGCTCAAAGCTATTATGCCGGTAGCCATTGAGAAAAATCAGTGTGCTTTTGTTCAAGGTAGACTGCTCCTTGAAAATGTGCTCCTGGCAACAGATTTGGTAAAGGACTACCACAAGCCACAAGTCTCAGCTCGATCCGCTATAAAGTTGGACATCTCCAAAGCGTTTGATACTGTGAAGTGGTCATTCATTGAAGTCGTTCTGCGTACAATGCATCTCCCTGATCTGTTTATAATCTGGATTATGAAATGTGTTACCACTGCAGCGTTCTCTGTATCCATTAATGGTGAATTGGAGGCTTTCTTCTCTAGCTCCAGGGGAATACGTCAAGGCTGTTCATTATCGCCGTATCTATATGTTATCGTCAGCAATGTCCTCTCTAAACTTCTGAATAAATAGTGTTGGATAGAAGTATTGGGTACCATCCCATGTGCTGTGATGTCAAGCTCACGCATCTCACCACAAAAAAATGACTCACAGCACTTTAAATATCTAGGTCTGCCACTCACCACAAAAACAATGACTCGAAGTGATTATGAGCCATTGTTGGCAAAAATTCGGGCTAGATTCCTCAGCTGGACGAGTAAAGCCCTGTCCTTTGCTGGGAGATTGCAGCTGATCAACTCTGTTATTGTAAGTCTCACTAATTTCTGGTGCTCTGCTTTTAGCCTCCCTCAAGGTTGTATTGATGAGATTGAGAGTATGTGTTCAGCTTTTCTTTGGAGTGGCTCTCCTAACATATCTTCAAAGTCTAAAATTGCTTGGGAAGAAGTTTATAGACCAAAGGAGGAGGGAGGATTAGGTGTTAGGAGGATTAATAATATATCGGTGGTGTTTGATCTTAAACTCATTTGGCGTTTGTTCAACAACTTAGACTCACAATTGGTTATGTGGGTGAAGAGCTCTATATTACGAGGAGAGTCTTTTTGGGATGTCAATGCAGGTGCAGTGGGATCATGGATATGGAAAAAGTTGTTACAGCTCAGGCCTTTAGCTAAACAATTTCTGTAAATGGAAGTACGTAGCGGCATAACTGTTGGTTTCTGGACTGATCTATGACATCCTATGGGGAGGTTGATTGATGTTATTGGGGAAAGAGGAACTCAAAAGCTTTGGCATTGTCAGGAATTCAAAGATTGCTGACGTCTTGATTGATCATCAATGGAGGTTTAGGAACACACGGGATAGTAACATTGAGAAAGTCCTCTCAAGAGTTAAGGAGTACCCTCTAGTGCTGGCGTCAAATGAAGATGATACAGCGCAATGGAAGGGGGGGGGGAGGAGTATAGAAAAGAGTTCTCTGCCTTTCACACTTGGGATAAGATTCCTTCCCATCATAACAGAGTGCCTTGGTCAACGGTGGTTTGGTTCAAACAAGGTGTGCCTCGTTATGCTTTTATTACTTGGCTGGCTGTCAAGATCCGGCTCTCTACAGGGTCGAGAATGAGAGTGTGGGGGGGGGGGAGGCAGCCCAAGGGTGTACTTTTTTTGGCGAGCCAGAGGAATCGAAAGACCACTTGTTTTTTGGATGTCCATATACTTATGATCTCTGGCTGCAGGTCATTGGCTCCTTACTTCGACCAGCGCTTTTCCCTGATTGGACACAGATATTGGCTCGTATTCTTGGAGCAGCACGAGACAGGCTTGCCTCTATTCTCCTGAGAGAAATGAAAGACGTCACACACAGTGAAGTAGACCAGAGAATCATCTTGTGAAAATAATCGAGAAGACCATAAGACAACGAGTTCTGTCTATCTGATATTATGAGAAGAAAGGGCTAGTGGGGTTGATGCAGCGTTGGTTTCACTCTCGTATGGAACAGATTTAGGACTTGGGTATATGAATGTTTTATTATCATTGTTTCTTGTAAATAACTATTCTTTTCCATGATGATCAATAAATTTAACATTTCATCAAAAAAAAGTTTTATAATTTACGATAATTTTGTCACCTTTGTAACTTTTTATACAGTTCTAATTAGATTATGTTTCATAATTTTATTATCGAATTATTTTTAATGTTTTGTTTGTAAAATATTAATATATCTCTTGACTCTCAAAAGAATGAAACTAATGGTAGATGGATTCTTGATGATTCCATTGATATAGCAACATTTTGGATCTTGACATTTTTGGTGAGATTTATTTTTCATTAAATACAAAAAGAATCTTGTAACTCATTTATAGAAATTATAATTATTTTTTCAAGATCTTTATTATAAACATACAGAATCATGAAGTATCCATCAACTCATAATTCTTTTTCATTTGAGAATTAAAAGTTGAATTAATATTTTACTAACAGTTTTGTGATAATCTTATACTATAAAGAAGAAGGCAACTCTATTTTCCTCCATACACGTCATTTTATGACATCACTAATTAATTTATCCTAGATGCGACACCTGTCTTTTTCTACAAAACTCAGTGTTTCATTAGACAAAAGATAATTTGTGGGCTTATGCTAATCATAAGAATTAAAGCCCACAACCTCAGAAACCCTTTTGTCTTCTTCACCTTCACGCCGCAATTAGGCTTCTTCCTCTTTGTTGTCCAAAACCTAGAATAAATTTTTCTACCATCTATGTCACCATCAATGGCGTCTCGAGAGATTGGATGACTGAAATTCGACTTCAAGAATCTCTTTCGTTTTATTATTCGCATCGTTTAGCTTTCACTTTTAACCAACTGAAACGGTCCGGATAACAGGTTTATCGCCTATTTAACTCCACCAATCTACTTGAAGCACGATCTAACATTAATTGTATGTTATCCTATACAACACGGTTTATTCTATACCTATAAAAGGTTAGATTTTTTCACTTAAACATCATCCTCAGAAAAGCTCTCTTCGATTTCTTATCATGTTTTCAATCTAAGAAATTTTAGATTCTTTATTGGTTTCTTGCTATTCTTTTCAGTTAATATGTTTGTTTATAATCTCCATTTTATGCTCTTTGAGTTACTTATAACTGAATCGTTTATGATTTTGCAGGATATTCAAAATCTTATGCGAGAAGATACAATTTTGGATGTTCTCAGACTTTAGTTATTTAGGAATCCAATACTCAACATGGTCTTTTTGATTTATATAGGTTCTTCAAATATGTTGTCTCATGATGTCTTAATGTAAATGTTTATTTTTCCCTGTATAGGATAACTGATCAAGAAGCAGTTGAGGGATTAACTGGCTTTGGATATGTCCTCGGCTAGAGAAGGCTTGGAGGTAGTCATGCCGACGAGGGTGCCTCCCGGACAGAGCGCCGGAGTTTGGATCGAGGATGACGTGCCGGACATCTGAAGGGTAACCGACGATGGAGAAGATGACGTCGGATTGGGAAGCCAGGGAGTTTGGGGATTCTACTAGCTTGGCGCCCATGGAGAGAAGAGTCTGGGCTTTGGAGATTGTGCGGTTGAAGATGGTGACGGAGTATCCGGATTTGATTAGGTGTGCACATTGACCGGCCCATGACGCCGGCTCCGATCCAGCCGATTTGGGTGTTTGATGGGTTGATTGGATCGGTGGAGATGGGTTTGTGGAACAATCGACAAGAACAGTTCAGATTTCGTAATAACAGTGGGCTGCTTGGAATACTAACCAAATCTTTATTTTGCAGGTCGTCTATTTTTCAATGCCACATCGGAGACACACATTTTCTTTGACAAGGAGAGTGATGCTGGGAAGACTTTCGTTTACAAGTACGTAGTTGATATAGTTTCAGCACCACTTTATCAACAATCAGTTTGTTAGTTGGTCTTCTTATCCTATACATATTCTTACGTATCATATACCATCTCTATAGGCTGGTCTCCAATGACATTGGGAACGCATCAGCAGCTTCATTGTTTAGGGGCTATGCCAAAGTTGAACCTATGACCATAGCTGAGCTTAATGAGTTAGTCACCACTGATCCAGCTCAGGTTAAATCTTATATTTTTATACTTTGTATGTTACTGATATCGAGATGGACAGAGGCTGGTGTCAAATCTCATGCTCTAGGTGTACAAAAAAGCTACAATGAACTGTCTCATCCTTTAGTGTGTGACTTGCAACAACACTAACGCTGAAGGCTGTTGGTGTACTCCGGTATATAGGTCCCCTCAACATGTCCATCTTATTAAATTACAAACAACTCCCACACACACAAACAGTCACCTTATTTTTAATGGTTTCCCCCTCTTATAGATATCATGTAAAGATGGCAATCACCAAAGACACCGATGAGTGTCTGTTGGTTGGTTTCGATGGAAAAATGAGAAAGTTACATAATATGAGAAGCCTATAAAGCTGGTCATCTACTGGTATGTATCTATCTCACCACGTACCATCTGCCATTACTTTTTTTTTAAATAGTGTATCTACTTACCTACTAACTAACGTTTGTCACATAGGCTGGAAAAGGAGCTAACCTAGAGGAGACTCAGCCTCCCTCTTTTATTGCAGACATGGTTGGGAAAGCTTACACATTCCAGGTCGGGGTTAGCAGCTATAACTTCGCTACCAACCATAAAGGTTCACTGTCTCCCAGAGGTCAGGGTCTGCCACAACCAGACTTTGTTGACAATGTAAGTTTCATCATAAATTTCATTATTTTCATTTCGGTGTCAACATCTTTGTATGTGTTTCGGTCAAAACAGGAGAACAAAGATGATGATAGGATAATGATGACGGAGATATGCCCAGGAAAAACTCAGCTTTGACTGGTCTCACCACCAAGACGCTTCCAGCACCATCAACATCAAAAGTTGTCAAGAAGGGCTGAGTCGCAAAAGATGATTATCACGAAGCATTTGGACGTGGTTTTTGGCTATTAAATAATACTTTTTTTTCAGACAATCTTTAGAAGTTATGCTTAATTTTAAGCTAATCTTATTATACTTAAAGATTACATGTCCTTTGCTCTCTAAGATTTTATTTATGTTATCCACATATAGTTTCCTATTAAAGGAAAAGATAATAGTTATGCTCTAATATATTATCATTTGCTCTCTTAATCATCAGTGAAATCTTTCCGTTTCATTTAAAACTTTTCTAGACTGTTAATTTTATTCCTCAGAAAATCCTCACTTCATATTTTCATAGCCTATTTATAGATCATCTAAATAATAAAACGATTCCAAATGCACAGACGTAAATGCTTCAACAATTAGTCCAGATTTTTTTGTTGTGGGAATAGAGTGGCGTCCATCATCTAATCAACTCTAAATATATCTGTTTTCAAAACCCATTGCCGACAGAGCATTGCGTTGACACTTTATCACTGTAAAATAAAGATTGAGAAACATTGTTTTCAGGCTGTGCTTTAGATCAAACACATCAACCTGCCCACGTAAGAGAAGAAATATCTAGATACTCTGAACTGGGAAACAAACAAAAAGGGGATCAATCGCTGCTGGAATAACAACGAGAAAGCTATACGTCTGTTGAATGTCGATTTTACAAGTCTGTACCATAGGAACATACGAGCTCAAACCACAAACGAGCTACCATCTCAATGTCATGGAGACCAACTACAACCATTGCTTCTACCTCAAAGTCAAGAGAATCATAACCATACTTTAAAATGACTATTCTGGATCAAGCTAAAACCGCTACAATAACACCCATCAATCTTTTCATTATCCTACTTATACATGTTGTATCAAACATTTTTCCACATATTATTTTACAAAATAATATAAGGATTTCTTCTATAATTGCTATTTCAGACCCACATTAATCGTTTGACTTAGGGGTGTTAAATCCAGATGTTGGTTTGGTTAAGGTTAGTATTTTTGTTATTTCAGTTTATAAAAATTAGCTACCATATTAATAACATATCTATTTTGGTTTGGTTCGGTTTATGTAATTCGGTTTATTCAATTTTATACCAAAAACTATATTGTATTTACCTTTTATTACAAATTTTAGTTTATAAAATAAGAAATCAGATTTATTAAAACATAATATATATTTCTGTACTCTAAATTTAAAATTAAATATTTGCTTTTTCTTTTTCCTAATAAAAATAAAAAAATTAATATCATAATATTATTAAATAACTAAATTTTAACAAAAATATATAATAATAAAAATATGTATTACTTAATTTGATGAAAGTGAGAAATTTTTAACTTAGAAAAAAATTATAAAAGCAGTAGCTTTAAATATGAGTTTTAAGTTCAAAAATAAGCAAACGTATATATTATTAATATTATTCTAAAATTTACATATAAGTATACTAATATATTTTAGTTAATCGGTTTTATTGGTTTATATACCGAACCATATTCATATACCGCAGTTTCTTAAAATTAACATTCATTTGATTTTATTCGGTATTCCCAAATCCAAATCACTTTTTATATTTTGGTTTGGTTCGATTTTATTTGGCTCGATTTAATTGGATTGATTTTAATTGAAAACCACTTCGACTCCATTTTCTAAAAATAGATTCTAAAAGTCCGAGTAGAACCAAAAAGAATTGGTACAGACAATACTAATCAATTTTTTAAAAAACAATTGTCAACTAAATGAACAACAAAAAATACATACACAAAATTTACATCTTAAATAAACAAAAAACTACATCACATCCCGCGCGTAGCGCAGACTTCCCCTAGTAAAATTATAAAACACAATGCAAATAAGATTATATAAATAGTTAAAGAAAATTGATTGTAAATAGTTATACATTCTCCACAATCATGTAATCACGAACTATTCAACAAATGATATGTTAACTAATTAATTTATAATATAGATGAAAACTACAGAAAATTTTACTTTGAGACAATTAAAAACTTTTGGTTTGAAATTTTTTTTATAATTTTATTTATTAGTGTTATAGTTATTAAAATATATTTTTAATATTTAAAATCCAATGTTTTTTAAAAAAATGTTGATTTATAATAATGCGAAAAAAATCATCAACTTTAAAAATCATTTTAAATCTACTATAAATGTTAACTAATTTGTGGTATGGTCAACGAGAATTTAGAATGAAAGTGATTTGTAAAATAAAAATTGATTGTTTTTTAATTTATGAAAAAATGGTATTTTATTTCAACCAAATTTAAAAGTTGATGATTTAAATCATATTTTTTCCAAAACGTTTTCACATAAAATACCATCTTTTTGGTATGTGAATAATTTTTCTTCAATTGTCGGTGCTAATTTTTTTGACCCAAATGGGTAAATCGGTGATTTGTTTAGTTCCCAAAATAAAAAGTTGGTGATTTGCTTTTGGACCGAGAGAGAGAGAGAGAGAGAGAGAGAGAGAGAGAGAGAGAGAGAGAGAGAGAGAGAGAGAGAGAGAGAGAGAGAGTCGCATACTGCGTTGAGGAGAGAGAGTCGCATACTGCGTTGAGGAGAGAGAGACCGCGAAAAACCACCAAGAACAAAAAAAATTTCGTCCTAAGAGGAAAACCAAAATTGAAAAGAAGAAATTGCTGAATTAGAAATCTCGTAAACAAGAAATTAATGTTCTTACTTCCCTGAGAAATTGATTTCGTCTTTGATTCGAAGCTTAAAAAGAAAGGGTTCGTTTTGTTTGTTCTTTCTTCGGGGAAACCCTAGGAGAGAGAATTAGCTAATTTTAGATTTGTGATTGCCGGAGTTCTGTGCCCTAGCGTTGCCTTACGTTCAAAATTCAGGTAGTCTACCTTCATTCCCTCTTCTTCTGAAACCCTAATGCCCTGCTTTGCTGGAGTTTCTGAGCAATTTTGAACATTTTGGTTCTAATTCTGATTAGGACATTGTTGATTGAGTGGTCTTTGTAATTCTTAGCTCCGTTCTACTCTTTTAGCTTCTAATGTGCAACATAGTTCGCCATTAAGTAGCTGATCATTTTAGATTTTCAACTTTGGTTCCTCTTAATCCTTGTTAGTATTGTATTATCTTTCTTACTTGAGCTTCGAGAAACTCTATTTCTTGTGTGGCATCCTTTTAATTCAACGGGGGTATATGATGCTGGAAACGTGTAAGTTTATCTCGTGAAACGTTATGCTGATTATATGCATCTGATCTTCTCGAGGTGTATAGTTATGCTCTATCAAAACTTGGTTTGAACATATGGGCAATTGCCAATAAAAAGAAGAAGTTATGCTCTGTAAATACTGAAGGAATCTTTATATATATTTTCCAGTTAGATATCTAATTTATGGGACATCCAAGGTGGTAATGCATGGATGTCATCTAGTAAATGCTGAGGTTGATTCCATGGAAGGAGTTATTGATAATGGAGGTGGTGTTGGTCTCAAAGCGTCTCCGCGTCGAACAGACATTGAGAAGACTCAAGCGGAGCTAAGGTATTTCTTCTTCCATGTTTACATTTTCTACAACTTCCATTATGTAACAAAGATGCTTGTTTCAACAGGCAAGAGTATGATGTATGTGAT